CGAATGCCCAACTATTTATAAGGTTTGTGGATTTACTACATATTTTTGTAGTTGATAAATAAGAGGCCTCTTTAAGAAACTATTAAATAATCTAAACATATAGAAGTATTTGGTAAATAATATGCAACCGTTTAATAAATATCATCCATAAAAGATTATAATAATATCAGCAAAGCAATATAAAATGTCAAAAAAAAATAACTGAATACCAATACATTCGTATAAGTTATTAATAATACTACTAGGATACTAATAAAGAACTAAATTTAACCCAAAATTAATCATACAAATAGAAAGAGTTATCTCTTTATGGTGTAACACTCTTCAAATAAAATCTATGAAGAAAACATAGTCAAATTCCAAGGTCTATCTGAATTTTAAGTCTAGATTGCGATATCTTAGCGTTAATTCGGATCTTTGATTTAATAAAGAATTCTTATTAAAGAATTTGGTAATTTCCAATTTTTCATGTAAACACAGAGAACAGGGTTCATATAAGTATCTCCATGTCCTTGCCATTTTTTTAAATGTTCCATTTCACCTTGGGAGTTTTATTATTATCTTTTAAACTTCAAAAATATTTAGAAAGTGATGTATTATTTCTATAAGTATTATTCGTAAAAGACAAGAAATCTTGATACCTTCTAGTTTTAAAAGAATTCTTAGTACTACCAATATATAATTTTTCAACTGTCGGTTTTTCTATTTTAAATTACTTAGGTTAAACATTTATTTAGCAATGGACATTGGTGTGAATTACTACAATTACATTGACTAGTATCGTTAGTGACATTTATTTTGGAACGTGCATTAGGATTCCGATTATTATTGCGTAACGTTATAATATTCTCAAGATTATTGCTGCAGCTATAAATTAGTTTTAATGTTTCTGTTAAATATTGTACTAAGAAGGATAATTTTATGGAAATATTTATCAATTAAATGAAAGAACTTCTGGTCTTACTTAGTACTGACCAATGGGTTAAATGGGAATGTGTATCTAATGGCCTTCCTATTTCGATTTCTTTTCTTTAGACCAGTATCGTCATAATTTCTATACATGATTTCAGCGTACTTGTAACCACTATTCTTTAAAACAGTATTATAAACGACCTCTATATTTATCAAATAAATTTTTGTAAGATGCGTTGTTGCTAATCCTAAATTCTACAGAGGAAGGTATATGATCGATTAACGATGGAGGGTGGTAAGAATTGGAGTGGATAAAAGTTGGGTTGGCATTAGTTTTCATATAAGGTAGGAATACATCATTAATGAGATCTAGCGTAATATCAAGAAAATCTACTCGTTTAACATTAATATTCATCTTAACCTTAAGATTTAAAATTTTAATTCTCTATGAATCATTATTCTTAATTTATATACATTAATCTTAGTGTAATTTTTCACTATCATAAGATCATCATCTCTACATAAGCCTATATTGTTCAGATTGACATCATATATATATATATATATATATATATATATATATATATATATATTGATTCATCATCTGATAGAAACCTCAACAGAATGCAGAAAGCACTGGGCGGCCGATTCGTCCTATATTTGGGACTCATCAGCAGTGCGCATCCAATACCGAGATTACCAACTGTTCTAATGGGCCTCGGTGACGAAGAAATTGCAAATCAGACTCAATATAGCGCCACTCACTCACATATTCCGTGGTGGAACCATATTGTGTTCTCTGTAACCATAGGACTGTTCTCCCTGGAGTCACGACTACTCTCACCAAGCCGCTCACTCTAGAGCATTAGAAGCCGGTTCAAGCAATGGTATACACATATAGTAATTATAATATATATATATATATATATATATATATATATATATATATATATATATATATATATATATATATATGGTTGGATTGATGTGAGTATATGACCCTAGGTTTCACGCTTTTGCGACCGTCAGAAAAACTGAATAGAATGATCAAATGAAATTTTGTAATGAACGATAATACTTAGTACAAGATGAACACAGGTAAGATTCGCCAGCGGCGCGTAGAAGAAGCAGTCAACACCTAGAAGTGAGTCAAGTGAATTCCACAATGAATCCCCAACTGCAGAATATCATACAGTATTTACTACTATATTTTTGTGAATAGGTATAACCATTTATCGTCCGTATGTATGCTAGAAAACACATACACAAATATATACATATATATACATATATATATATATATATATATATATATATATATATATATATATATATATGTAAGAGATCAATAAGAAAAGAGCGAACTCAAACCCATAAGACGTTTGTCTCGTGAGATAGGAGTTTCACCTATGAGAGTCCAAAGAGCGTTGAAAAACATGAAATGAAATCGTACGTGAAACTTGTGATGCAGCTTGTTATTCCAGGACAGAAGGTTAGATGGTAAAAGATGGCTAAGATCATTATCAATAAGTTGGAAAATGATCCCGAAATACTATATATGTATATACTTTACAATTTTATTTCAATC